TGGCCACGCACACCAACACCGCGCCGCGTGCATTTTTGCCTCCACAAAACAAAACGGAAAAAAAAATGTGTGTGTTCGCTCCACCCCAATACGGCCGCCTCATTGTCCACGCAGCGCTCACTTTTCATTGGCGGCACCTCAGCGTGCTGTCGCCCCGCCCACCCGCCGCTTCCTCTGCGCGGCGCACGAAGAACCGCCACTCCTGTGCGTCTCGGGGCGGGAGCAGCCGACAGCCGCGAGCGGCGCCCGACCCTCCGTGGGGAGAGCGGGCAAAGCAAAAAAGCAAAAAAGAAAGTATTTAGAAAAGAAAAAATTATTCCCGGCGTTCAACCCAACGGGAGAACTCGCACATGACCAGGAAGCAAAGACGATCCGCAGCGGATCAGCAATTAACTTAGTGGGGGAGACGCACATGCGTTCCCTCTGCGTGCCGCGGCCCAGCGACGCCACCGCCGCTCAGCACAGCGCGGAGAGACCCCACAGCCCCAGCGGAAGCAGTGAGAGCGCCCCAGAAGCACATCCACGCACAGAAATGTCCTTTGCTTTAGCCTTTGCGTGTTGAGCGCCGGCTGCCCCTGAAGACTTGCGCTCTTCCGCCCTCTTCAGTGCGGCAACCTCACTGGCGCTGAAGCGGCGGTTGTACAGCAAGACGTTCGTCAACGTCACGCGGCCCCCAAAGGTTGGTTCGCTGCCCCTGTAGCCCCCAAAGAAGATTTGCGAGACCCTCTCCGACGGCCTCTCCAGCTGAGGTTCGCCAGAAACAGACGAAGGCCGGGCAGTCACAGTAGCTGGGCGCTTCTTCAAACTCCCCACAAGCCGCCCGTCGACGTACGCTGAGCCGCTGCCATTTTTCACCGTGAGCACCACTCGGTATGCCTCCCCCTCCTCCCACGCAATTGTTTCAGCATTATTTTCTGCCCCCGCCCCGAGCTTCGTCCTCCAGTGCTTGTGTTCGTCGTACCACAGCCCCAAATATGACCCAGTGATCATCGTCCTCACGCCCAGCAGTGGGGTGGCGCCCTTTGGCGCTTCGTTGATGGTCACCGTCGCCACAAGGGTCACCTCTTCGCCCACGGAACTGTGCCCTGGGCCATCCTCGTCTCCGCCCACCGGCCACACAATCGATGCACCACGCCCCGCCAGCGCAAAGCCATCATCGACCTTCGTTGCTCCTTCCAACACCGTGGCGCCCACCCCAAGGTACTCGTCCTTCCAGTGGGTATTGTCGCCGCCGTTCGACAAAAACCCAACCAGCCCGTCCGTTGGCATAGCACCGACGCAGGCAGCAGCGGTGGTGGCGGCGGAGCTGCAAAGCGTTGCAACTCTGGCGTCCACATCTTTCCATTTATTCAGCACGGCCTTGATGCGCTGCAGCTGCTCTGGAAGGCGCGCAAAAACAAGAATGTCTGACGTATCACCTTTCTTCGTGTAGAGGGCAAACAACTCATCTTTTGTGTACAGCAGGGAGCTGAAAAGGGCGGCGCCCGCATCATCCGCAGATATTGGCCCAACATCGTGGGTCCGAGCACCGTCGGAGAGCCACAGGTGGATTACTCTGCGTGGCGTGCCTCTTCCACTGGTTCCTCCTGGCTCAGTACGACTTAACAGAGTCGTGGTGTAGAGGAGCACACTCCTCTTCTCAATGGTTGCACTGATGAGGTCGGAACCACCGTGGTTCATAGACAACGCGTATGCGTCGCCCAACAGGCGTGCGAAGGGCCCGGCTGCCTCGTTCCACGTCTTCCCCTCGTCACTGGATCCGTACACCTTGCCATGCCGCGAATAAGAAGAGTTTAACGTGGCCATGAAAAGTTTTCCCGCCCACTCGAGAAGCGTGGCAGCTTCACAGCCCTGAGCAATTGCACCCGCCGCATGAAGCTTCCAGCTACTCCCATTGTCGTCGGAGTAGACGACGGTGCAGGCAAGTGTGCCTGTTCCGTCGTTGGTGGTTCCCGCAAGAGGGAAGAGAATCGTCGCGGCCCCAACCGCAACGCCTCTGGCCCCACGAGAGGGTTCCAGATCCTCCCACGGACGCGGCGCAGTCATTTCTGCGGCAAGCGCCGACTTCAGCGATCGGGGTTCCCCCCACGCGACTGCTTTCCTTCCTTGCTCTGCCACAGGCCCTGGAACGTCACCAACGATCAGCGCAAGGTCCCAGTTGTCTTCACGCGAAGAGGAAGTGTCGGCAGCGACTGTCTTTGACACAAGGAGATATATTTTGCTGTCCTTCACCAGCGCCTTCGGGCCAAACAGTGTCCTATAGCAGACCTCTCCTTCCACTTGTTTTGTCACACGCTGCGTCTTCCACTCTTGTTTCGCCCATGTGGCGTCTTCCTTCAACTTTTCGTCTGCTCCGTACGCATTGGATTTTGCCCAAGTGTCAAAACCCATGCTTTGCTGAGTGCCGTTGTGTTTGCCGACGGCAAGAGCAACCAGCACCCCATTCACGTCGAGAAGGGAGTGGCTGAAGAATGAGGAGACACCTTGATAACGGTCTTTGTCGCCCGTTTCCCCAGCGGCAAGCACTGGAGTTTCCCCTTGTTTGAAGAGCTCAACCTCCTTCGACTCTTTCCGCGCTCCTTCAACGCTGGTCCCAGCCCCACTGCTGCCGCAGCACATCAGTGCGCAGAGAAGGAGCGGCAGCACCGCAAAGGGAAACAGGTGCCGCGGCATGTCGTGCCGCTGCCCACACACACTCTCTCTCTCTTCCCCCCTTGCGGTCGATCCTCCCAGGCCGCGACGGTTGCGTGTGTGTGTGTGTGTTGACGGTGGTGGTACCTGCAGAGCCTTCAAAGCGCACAGCAGAAAAGTAGCGTTTGGTCTCTCTTTCCCTGTGTGTGCGCAAAGAGAGAAGTAAGAAGAGGAGCAAACACAGGCAGAGGCGATGACGCAGGTGCGGCAGCGGGGAGCAGCGCACACGCCGCCTAGCCACCGCAGCGAACTCGCCTCCACTCGCGCCTCCGTGAGGGAAGCGGCGAGGGGGCGGCGGGCTCCGCCCTCCTGCGGGGCAAAAGGCAGGCAACGCAGCAAACAAACTTGCGGAGTACAACAAACAAGTGCCCCGAGCAGCCCCCGCACGCATTCGTCGAGCGCCGCACACGTGCGTGAAAGATATTTGGGGGTGACTGTTTCCACTTCTCTATCCGGCCAGGCAGTGCGCAGTGAAATGGAGGAACAAGCCCCCCAGCGTTCCCAACCTCGCCTCCTTCTACAGTGCTGACGGATGTGTGTCTGTGTGTGTGTGTGCACTGACGCCCCCCTACGGCAATTCCGGGCCCCGCGAGCGTGGCCGATGTGGTCGGCCACCGCCGCCCGAAATTCCACCTGCAGGGGAGAATCCATCAGTAAAAGAAGAAGGCAAGCAAAAAAGAGGAGGCGCGTCTGCCAAAAGTCTACCCACCGCCCCACCGTGGAGGAAAAGTGGCTTCCGCCGGAGCCGCCGGGGCAAAGTGGCAGATATTGCACTGCACACAACATGAAACCTCAGCCCCCCTCTCAAAGGAGTCAAGCAAAAAAAAAATAATAAAATAAAAAATAAAAAAGGGCGTATGTAACAGTGGGGAAAGAGAAGGGAGGTATATTTCTGTTGCCCAACCCATCAGCGCTGAGCGGCGCGAATGCAAAGACGCATAAGCGCGCGTGGTGTCGTGTGAAAGGCGCCCTTTGCACTCAAAGGGGCGGCGGCGGGTTGGTACACGGCGGCCTCAAAAAACTGCGGAAAGCGCGAGGTCATGTGCGTGGAAAGCCAGCCCAGGTTCCGCTGCTCACCACGTGGCTCCAGTTCCGACCAAGTGGGGGGGAGAACGGCCAACGTCCGTGTCTCATCCACGGCGTAAAGCTCGACGTTGCACAGCGAGATGGCGGTAAAGCAGGAGTCTAGATGATGCATCTTCACGCCCTTCTCATGCCGCAGCTCGAGCACACCGCTCTCCGGGAGATACTCGTCGACGTCGGGAGTCCCCAGCCGGAGAGCAAAAAGGGAGCGGAAGAGGGCCACGCGATTCACGACACACTCGGGGGCGGTCGCCACTTCGTAGCCCCCCATTTCTGCGAGAAGGTTGAGCAGCAGCGTGCCTGTCAGCAGGGCGTCGTAGCCGGCCTCATGCGTCGGCCCACCGCCCTCGCCGCCGGCAGAAGTGTGACCGCGCTCACCGCCCCCGGTGGCGAGGGGGTCGTAGGATTCAAACCCCAAAGGAAGCGTCACATGCACGTGCGCGGAGCGAAAGCCGTACTCGCCAAAGAAGCCACTCAAGTAACGGGCCCCAAAGCGTCCCACAGGAAAAAACGCCTGCCGGGTTGCAACATACCTGGTGTCAAACACAGTGGGAAACAACTCCTGCATGCGAAGCTTAAACTCGGACAGAGTCTCTGGTAACGGGCCGTCCAGAGTGGCAACCAAAAAGAGGAGGTCCGCAAAGCAGTTGTGACCGACGCAGGGCTTTTGACTCAACACAAGGGCGTTGAACACCAGACGAAACCCCAGCATGTTCACCAGTTCTCGTTCCCGGAGGGCCTGCTCCTTTTCAAGCAGGCGTTTACGCTCCTCTGGGAAGACGGCCCGCAGCATGCCAATGTGAGCCGCCCCCTGGCGTCGAAAGGTGAGGGAAAGGGCGGGGCAGTGCTGAGCTATGTACCGCTCAAGCGCCTCGCGGGCACTCTTGCCCCGTTGTGGTGGCAGGAAAACGTCTCGTCCACCGGACTGAATGAGCTCCACGGAGGCGGCCACCTCCACCACACCCGCCGTCTGCCCGGCATTCCTCCCCTTTGCACGCTCCAGCACCGCTTCGACCCGTTCAACGAAGGCCTGGGCCAGCGCCACGGCGTTATTGTACCACGCCCGCTCGTCTTCTGTCAAGAGACTTTCTCTCTGCGCCTCTTGCTTCTCTGCGTTGCGAGTTCGGTCCAGCTCCCGACACTTTTCCGCATGCCTGCTGCGCAGTGCCTCCTCCTGCCGTGCGTCACAGTACGCCATGCCTTGGTACACCCATGACTGAAAGTTCATGTCGTGTCGGCGGAGAAACGCGAGAGAGGAGGGGCTGAGCACGACGTCCCTGGAACGCTCCTCCGCCGTAAAGTCGTCGGCGTGGTGAGGAAAGAGGAGAAAATTGAACGGCCGAGCAACATACCGCGTCGGCGTGGCGCCGGCCGCAGTGGTGTCTCTGTGAAACAAGCATATCCCAACCTGAATGATGTTGTAGCGGCTGGCGACGGCGCGCTTGGCACGGTAACTCTCTTCTGGCGTGTCTGTGATCGTCTCCGGCAGCTCCGCCGTGTTGATGCCCGTCAGCTCCTCATCAAACGCGTAAAAGTCGCACGTCTGCAGGAGCTCCACAAACTTGGGAAAGACGGCAGGGAAGGTGTCCCGAGTGACCTGCATTGCCCCCGCCTCTCGCGCGTTCGCGTTCGCTCTTGCTCTGGGCGTGTGGAAACGCGATTTAAAGGGGAATCGCCGCCGCAGACCGCTTCAGGAGGGTCGGACAAAAAGAAACGGATGCTCGCCTTACAGCGGAGGGAACCGGCCGCCACGACGTCCGTGAGTGGTTAAAGTAGCTGGTGGCAAGGGGGGCGGGGGAAACGAGAAAAAAAGTTGCCCTCTCCTCTCGAAGAGGGGGAGGAAGAAGTTTTCTGCGACGGGAATAAGGAATAAGGCTTGACACATGCGTAAATATAAATGCACAACCAGAGAGAGAGAGAGAGAGAGCAGCAAAGCAAGACCAAAAACGGAGGAACCATCCCCCTCTCGCTCGGCGCTACGGCAGACACATTGACCAGTGCACCGCGTGACGCAGCTGCAGACTGGGGTAGATGCCCTCCCCGTCATGCACGCCGCCCTTCGCCGCCGCACCGCAAACATTGCTGGTGGGCGACACTGCCTCATAGTGCACATACACGTGAGATGTGAAACTCATCGACATGAGCTGGATCAGCTCCTCGCGTGAGACTCCGTCGGCTGCTCCGGTGGCAACGGCACCAGGCCTCCACAAGCCTGAGGGGGCGGACGCCGCGGTGCCGCGTTTAGAGGGCACGGGGGCTGAGCCACGGGGAGGGACGAGGACTGTGCTGCGTTCCTCGTCCGCCACCTCCTTCGCATGCCCCTTTAAAAACTTGCCGTAGACGCTTCCAAGCGAGTGCGGCTCCAGCAGGTAGCACAGGTGGGGCCGCAGCTGAATGGCAAACTGAAAGTTCATGGACTCCTCCGGCTCCAGCACAACCGGGACGCGAAACTCATGCACCGCAACGGGCGTCACCGTGACGGCGCGTCGCAGGAGTTCCACGTACTTCAGGTCCGCACTGCGTGGTCCCGCCCGCTGCTCGGACCACAGTGGGACGCTGGAAAGGCTGCCAAGGCTCTCCCCAACCCAGGTGGAGGAGATGTCAAAGGCGACCTGCCGCACACGCAGCGGGAAACCCGCAATGTTCACCACATTCACATTCACCAAGGCGCGGTACTGCGACACGCGTCGTGCGACGGAGGAGCAGCACAGCAGCTGACCCACCCGCGCCTGGTAGTAGCAGGTCCCTAGCACCACAAAGGAGGGGCGGTACCAGCCCATTTTCTGCTCCTGCACAGAGAGAAGGGCGCGAAGCATGACATCGTCGCCCGCATCACCGGCCCCCCACTTGTCCACGCCGCCGCTAGAGAAGGGAAGCAGCAACACAAAGCCCAATGTCATGGGCCTGTGAGTCTCCTCTACTTCCGGCAACGCGTAGCTAAACGTGTACGTGTAGCTCAGATGACGTGGCATCGCGCCCTGTGGCTTTCCTTCCGACGCGCCTGCTTCCACTACTGCTGCTCGTGGCACCTCCACCTCCACCTCGTCCCGCGGCTCCGCCGCCACCGTGAGGATCCTTCCTGCGGTTGCCATCACGTTCGACGCCGCAGCCTGGGCGTTGGGGGCTGCTTCCACGCGTGTCCGCTCCTCCCAGAACGGCGGGACGCCGCCGCGGAAGCAGCACCCCACGCCATGCTGCGGCCCATAGCTGGCCGGCGCTGCCTGGCCCTGCGTCCTACCCGGCGACGACGGCGCCGCCGCAGCCCCCACGACAACTGGCAGGATGCGCAGCGTGCGAAACAGCTTCCGCCAGAGCAGGCAAAAGTCGCTCTCCCCCAGCGCCGCCATCAGCGCGGCCCCGTCACGGTTGCGCTCGCCGTTCTCATTGGAGAGCGTGAGGGTGAGCTGAAATCGCAGCGACTGCCACGACAGCAGCAAGGGCGTGCCCTCCTCGTCGACAAGCTCAGAGAGCCGCCAGAACTGCACCGCCAAAAGTCTACGAAGAATATCCATCGCGACACTACGCCACAATCAAATCCACCTTCGCGGATGCGACAAACAAAGGAACAAACCAAAGAAGAAGAAACGAGGTGCAGGCGAGGGAACGAAGTTGCACCTGTCCCCGCATTGCAAGAAAGACAAGAGAAACAATTCGCCCCCAACCTTATGTCCTTCTCCCTCCTTCCTCTCCGTAAGGTGAATAAATATGATAAACGGAAGCGCATGCATGCGTCATGGCGCCGGCGAAGACGCACAGAGGTGTCGTACAGCAATAAAAGACGTAGAAAACACCCACCCACACCCTCACACACACACAGAAGCAAAAAACACAAAAACAAATGACATCTCCGCACAACTCCACGCGGTATCACAAGGGGTCCAAATCCGTCTCCGCACGTTTCCACGTCGTTTGCTTCGTTTTCTTGTTGTAATAGTATACTTTGCCCGTGGCGGGGTCTTTTCTTTCCGCCCACTCCGTCAATTGCTGCTTCTTCTCTGGTTGCTGCGAAGACGTCAAGGTCGCGCTGGAAGTCCCGCCATCCTCCCTGAGCGTATCCTCCAGCTTCCACGTTGTTGCTTTGGTCTTCCGATGTACGTAGTACGTGCGGCCGCTGCTCGGGTCGGCCACCGCACGCCACTCGGCGCCACAGGCCGCGACTTCCCCCACGCCAGTTTCTTGCGGCTCACCTTTGAAGGTGTCCTCAACGTTCCAGGTAGTCTTCTTTGTCGCGACATGCACGTAGTAGGTTTTACCGCTGGCAGGGTCAAGCACAGACCTCCACCCGGCTCCGCACTGCCGGAACTTTGCCTCGGCCTCCTTCTTCGGTGCGTCTGCCACCGCCTTGCTGGTCGCCCCCGCAGGCTGCACCTCCACCTGCGCCAAGGACGACGTCACAGCAGCGGTCTCAAACTCCGCGTTGACACTTCCCCCTTTTTCTGCCCCGCCATGAGCTTCTTTTGCTACCTCTTCTTTCCCCGCATCCACCCCCAGCGAGGCAGAAGGGAGCCAAGACGTCTTCGGAGCCCTTCCAAAGACACCCTTGGAGGCCAACAGGCTCGGAGACGCAGCGTGAGAGGAAGACAAGATACGCGACTCTATCTCACGGGCACGTTGCAGCTCCTCCTGCAAACGGCGCCCTTCCTCTGCCTCTGCCTCCGCCTCCTCGGGCCCCAAAGCAGATTGCTGCATCAGCGGCGGTGGTGATGGAAGTGTTTGCTGCAGTGGGTCTTGCGGCTCCCGCTGCTCGGGGGCGTCAGTGTGGCGAGGCTGCAGCGCCTCCTCAGACGATCTGTTCACGGTTAGTGGTGACTGCGCCGTTGCTGCCGCTGACAGCACCGGTGGGTGAGTTTTGGGGTCGTCCTGACAGACTGCCACCGCCGACTGGTACGGCGGCGCACCTGCAGCGTGTTGAAGCTGCCAAAGATGATTCTGATGCTGGCGAAGAAACTGGCGAGCCGCACCCATCAGACTCATCTCACCAGACCCCTGCGCATCACTCATATTGTCATACATCTCCACGGCCGTGCGCAGCTCGCGCAAAAGCGCCTCTCGCTCCGCAAGAGGAGGAGGGAGAGGATTTTGGTGCGACGACGGAGAGGCGTCTCGTGGATGCCCTACACGCCACTCCGCCTCTGCCTGGCGTGCAATGGCGCCATCAATCACGTTCCACAGCTCTGGATGCAGCGACTGCTGCTGCCTCGACCATGTATTAAATTCGATACCACCGCCTTGGCGAGTCTCCCCCGGCGGAGAGGCTTGAATGCCTGCAATATACTCCGCTCGCCGCCTATCACGCTCCGCCAGGAGACTGTCGATAAAAGATGTCGCCCCACGCGCCTCGCTCGCCGGTTTCGGTTGGGCAACCAGCCTATGCGAGGTGGTTGCTGCCGCACGGCCATCCCTCTCTCCTCCTCTCTGCACGGAGCCCATATCCCTCGTGCGGTGCTCCGCTGCGTCTGTGGGAGGCCCCATCGCGCGCGGCACCGCGAGCCCGCCATCGAGCGGGCCGCACTGGGCGCAGCCGCGGATGTTCTGATGCATGGCGGCCCGAAAGCGCTGCTGGGCGGCACGCGTGCGGAACGTGACAAAAAAACCCCGCCGCGGTGGAAGTCCATCCCTCGCGTCGGCGCAGAGGGAGGAGTAGTCGTTCAGTGGCAGCAGCTGCAGCCCGCGCCGGCGTCGCCCCGCGTCGCCGAAGGCCGCAACGGGAACCTCGACAAACACCTCGTCCCGGGGCTCGTGAAACGGGACAAAGACGAGCAGCGGGCCCCGCTCGCTGCTCCGCAGGGCCTCACGGCGCCGCGCGACACACGCGAGGGCCAAACACAACTCGGACGGCGTCTGAACCGAAGAAAGAAAGGCTACGTTTTCGTCGTCGGCGTCGTCGTATTGTTTTATAGCGCCGCCGTCGTTTCGGTGATCCTCGTAGGAGGCACGCGAAGGGCGGTTGACGGGGTCGATGAGAGGCACGCACTCGCTGTAGCGCGAGTAGAGCAGAGGGGAAGAAGCGGCAAGAGCCATCGCCGCAACTCCCGCCTCCTTTCTACGCTCGCCAAGCGTGGAGAGAAGCAAAAGAGCAAAAAAAAAAGAGGGGTTAAGTAGAAGAGGAAGGAAAAGCACGGAAATAAGAGGACAGTAAAGGAACCATGTGGCGCAGGCACGCCGCAAGGGATGGACACCAAAGCACAGATGCAGTGGATCATGCACACTCGCACAAATATCACGCCAAAGCGATGATGACAGTTCGCTCAGTTTACAACGTTGCCTCGTGGCTGCGTCTTCCTTCTGTGGTGCACATCCACACATCCACACACACACACACAGGGCACAGGCAGAAACAGGCACATGCCTATTTTATGCAATTTCTATTTATGAGTGGCGAAGGGCGGTGCCTGCCGCCGTTTGTGTGTGCACGTGGATGTCTTGCCCAATGAACTCACACTCTCACACTGGAGGCAAGAAACAGGAAAAAAAACTACAAAAAAAAAGAACAAATCTAATAATCTAATGTAGCACACACACACGCACAGAGAAACACACATAACTGCGGGCGCAGAAAGCTAGCAGTTTCACTTCCTTTTCAGCAGAACTGGGTGGCAGCATTTTCAGCGATACTACTGCCAGGAGTGAGCTCAAGAAGCATCCGCTTTGCCCCAGCCAAGACCTCCTCTGCCTGGGCGTGCCGTTCCGCGAACATGAGCTCGTCGCCCTCTACGTTTTCACACAGTGGCTTGACATCCGCAAGCTGAATCATCGTCTCTCGACCGTCGCCGTAGAGGTCACCCAGGAACGGCACAAACGTGCAGCGGGACACGTCCAGGCCCTCGAATATATTCCCCTCGTCATCACCTTCCACCTCCCTCCTGCTGCCACCGCCGTCGGCGTCGCCGCAGCCCTCATCGCGTTCACGGCGATTCCGCTTCGTTGGGTGCATCGGGGCAGCAACGGCGGCAGGAGCCCTTGTGGGACTCACCGGCAGGGTGGCAGAGACATCGTTCTCCTTCCACTGCTGCTGCTGTTGTCCGAGCGCGTGATCCGCCTCAAACTCCTCCACTGTAATCTTCCCACGAAACGTCACGCGCGGCGAGCGTCCCACGCGCTGCAGGTCGCGTCTGGCGATGTAATACCGCCCGCCACGCAAAATATCTAAAGGCGAATCCAACGCTACCGCCCTTGGCTGAACGCAGCCCGTGGAGTCGCACTCTAGCACGCTGCTGATGCAGTACTCCTCAGCCAGCTCCTGTAGGGTGACGTCGCCATTTACTTGAATCGGTGCAAACGCCGGGGCCGTGGCATCCGCGTCACGAATGAATAGCGCCACACTATTAGAAGAGGACTGCGGACTGGCGACCATGGCCTTCTCTGCCATCGCAGCTCTGTTTCCTACAGAAATTCAAGCTAACTAGAGAGACAAGGTGAAAGGACATGAAATGGCGCCTCGCACAGAGCGCAGTGGCTTGGCGCGTCGTACAAGAGGGAGTTGTGGGTGTGGGAAGAGAAAGAAGGCGTCAGCAACGACACAAAGGCACCAACATTTGCATGGGTCAATGAGTAGACTCTGCTTCGCATGCGCAACCAAGACCATCGTAATATGGGCGTATTCAAGCATAACGCGAACGCGTCGTCCGCATGACGGGGCTGCGCGGTGTCTCTACGAGGCACGACAACAACGACGCCCGTGCTGTTCCCTCCTCACCCAAAGGCGGTGCTGGCTCCCATGGGGCCGGGGCCTCGTCTCCGCTGGGCGCCTCACCCCACTCAAAACGCCGCTCCAAAGGCGGCGGCGCCGCCACAAAGAGGACGACCTGCTCCGTGTACGCGACGGGGTTGGCACCCGGCAGGAGTGAGTGGGGGATGCGTATGTCGCCGTACTTTTCCGACAGATTTACCAATATTCTCTTCGGGGGCATTGTCGTGCCCACAGCGCCGCCAAATCCATTCACGTAGAGAGATGGAGTGAAGAGAAGCGAGGGATCAAGCTGTACTGCAAAAAATAGATACCGTGCGTATGTATGTCTATATGTGTGTGTGCGCGTGCGTGCGTGCGTGGTGGCGAGGGAAGGCAAAGAAGAGAAGCAAAGGCAGCAGAGAGAAGAGGGATAGAAAGATGTGCGAGAAGGTGCCCCCGCAAGCCAAGGGAGAAAAGTGGGTGCGCGTGTGCGTGAGTGTCAGTGCGGGGACAAATATCCATTGCGCAGCGCTGCACAAGTTTCTTTCCGCTACGCCCGCAGCTGCACTTCCGCGGACTCCGCCAACTTGTCCAGGATGCACTGCGTCATCCACGCCATGCGGCCCCACTGCTGCATCGCTGCGGCGGAGGCGACGAGTCTGCCCTCACGGTTTCTGGACAAAGCGGCGTCAACGTCGCGCCACATCCGCGTTTGCTGGCAATAGCCGTCCTCGTCCGGCACCGCGATGACGTGCTCCTCACGCGTCACGGTGAGCTCAGTGCCACGCGCCGCCGTCCGCGCCTCCACAAACTTGAAGCTGGCGCGCCCAGCGGGTGCCGTAACGGGAACGTAAATGTTTGGCGCCTCAATAATGCCCGTCGTCCCCGACACAGTAAACTCCGCCTGCTGGGCACTGTTGAGGGCGCAGTAGAGATACCCCGTCACACGTTCCCCATCCACGTCAAAGGAGAGCTCCCCAGAAAAGGCAAGAATGGCACCCTTCTCGTTCTTCTCCAGGATTCGCCCAACGACAGCCTTGGGCATTTGGAAGTTCATGGCATGCAGCATGACGCGCACGCAGTACCAGCCACAATCTCCCAAGGCGCCGAGATTCTCCAATGCGGGATTAAGGCGGATGTCTGAGCGTCGTCGCTCCGCATCCGCGCACCACGCAAGCGCCGCCGTCATGCGCCGCACCTTTCCACAGCGTGGGAGGGTTTCCAGCAGCTTTTGCACCCAAGGCCCATGTGAGAACATGGTTCCATCCATGTACAATAACTGCCTCGCCCCGAGCCGCTCCAGCCAGTCCTGCAGCACAGCGGCGTTCTCTGCCGGAGGCTTCTCACCCACGACGTGTTTGTCGTGCTCCGCACACTTCACCACCCACACCGGTCGCTCCATAACAGGGATGGAGATGTACACCACGTCCACATCATCAGAAACCACCAATTCCTCGTAGCTGCATACCCGGGGTCTGCTGGACGCATCGAGGTTGAGATACTCGCAGCACTCCTGCACAAACGCCTCGGCTTTTTGAGGGTTACGGCTACCCACCACCGTCACAAGAAGCCCGGCACGATTAATGGCATCCCACACCTTCCGCGCGATGGCGGAGGCACCGAGAAGGCCCACATGAACAGCAGGTGTCATCTGTGAGGCCAAACACACGGGCGCACGCCGTCAGCGTTATAGACAAGTAGCTGCAATATGTATCTATATATTCGGCGTGGTGTCAACAGAAGAAATGGCGGGCTGAAGAAGATGAGACGGGGTGCGCAATTAACGACACAAGAATCAATCAACCAACACCAAAAGCAGCAGGTGCGGTGAAAACCATGCAAAATCCACGGATAAAAGGGCTCTGTAGAATAACGGAGAATACCAAAAAACAAAGGCCTCCGCGTCACAACTCCACCACCGCCATCCCCTGCTTTTTCAATTGCGCTAGTGCGGCAGCCCTCTCCGGTGCTGCTGTTTTCTGCGTGCTGGAGGCCTCGGGCTTCGTGGTGGTGGTGGTGGTGGCAATGGCATTGTTTTCCTCAGCGGGGGCGACGGCGGCCCACTCGGCGCTCTTCTGCGCAGACTCCATCAGTTTGTCGCACACGTGCTGCGTTGCCCACGCCATGCGTGCCCACCTCTCCGACCGCTCCGGCACCACCACGGGCGGCTCCCCGGGGTCAATGTGCATCAGCGCGAGCCCAACGTCTCGCCAAAGCTGCACCGCTTGAAACGTGCAATCTTCATCGCAGCGGCGTGTTTCAACCTCCCGGCGGAAGGACGGGGACTCCGTGGGCCCTTCAAAGGTGGTGCGCTCAACGCTGAACGTCGGCACCGCCTCATCCGTAGGATTGATGGCCCCGTGCACAACGATAATACCGTCATCGCCCTTGATGCGCACCAGCTGCTCATGCGCTGCGTGGAAGGTGCAGAAAAAGGCCCCCACCACGGGCTCACCCGCCACGGTAAAGAGAAGTTCGCCAGAGAAGGCAGAGATGCCATGTTTCGCGCCACTGCGCTGCGCCACGCGGCCCATCACGGCGTCTGGCAAGGCAAAGTCTACCAGGTGAAGGAAGTAGCGCACGCAGTACCAACCGAGGTCCCCCAACGCTCCCATCGGCTCCTGCGCAGGATCCAGGCGAATGTCGCTCCGAAGAAATTCCTCGGACGCCATAAAAGCAAAGTGTGCCTCCATGCGCCGCAGCCTTCCAATCTCACGACAGGCGCGGCAAACCTCTTGGATGCGACGGCTATGAGACAACATGGTGCCATCCACAAATAGCAACCGCTTTGCGGCGAAGTGCTGCAGCCATTCCCGCAGTTCTAACGAAGACACGGCTGTAGGCTTTTCACCAACCACGTGCTTCCCCTGCTTGGCACACTCCAGCATCCACTTGTGCCGCGCCGTGACAGGGATGGCAATGTACACCACATCCACGTTTGGCGACGCCACGACGCTCTCGTAGTCGCTGACCAGCGGCCTGCTCGCAAAGGGCATCGCGGCGTGAAGCTCCTCCACACACTTCTCTCCCCGGGGCTTGTCCCGACAGCCCACAGCCGTCAGCTCATGACCTGCCTCGTGGACAGCAACCCATGTCTTTCGCAGCACCTTCGCGGCGCCAAGCGCGCCCACGCGCAGCCGCGTTTTCGGAACGACTGTCATTCGTGCAACTATTGGCCACTGCTCTCGCCCAGTTTCTTTCGTATTCGATGCCTTCCTCGCACCTTGCAGGAAAAACAAGCAAACAAAAAAGCAAACAAAAAAGCAAAAAAAAGCAATAAGGTGCCTCCACGGCAGATTCCAGGCAATAACACATTCCTACCACAAATGACACGTGTGAGGCGCTGTATGAAGGCTGAGGCACCTCCACAAGGTCACCCGCGTGCCGAATCCGACCAAGACAGAAGTAATTTCGTATTCCAGCACAAATCTCCCACCCCTCCAGCAAACCTGACGGGAATCGTTTTGCCACCAAACACACCAGGGTGTATATTTGTTATCCTTACACTTTTTTCCCCCCTCTTTTGGTTGTTGTATTTCGTCCTTTTCTGGTTTTCTTTCGCTGCAGTTTGCTATATATATTTATATAAATATATACATGTATATTGAACCTACACGGCAAATCGCGCCGCGTATGGAGTGTAGCGGCCGTTCATGAAGACATACACAACTACTAACATGAATAGGGAAGATCCCGCTGGAAAACTGGGATGCAGTGCGATGATGCACGTCGCACGGCACCCGCCACCTGGAATACGCAACTCTTGCGGCCAACGACGCGTAGGCACCGTGCGTGCGCTGTTAGGGGAGGGGGAGAGCATGTCCTCTTGTTTGAGCTCCACACCACCGATGATGACGTCGTACTCGGCGTTGTTCAATATAGTTAACTCCGTACCGCGTGTGGGAGTTTTTCCATCCAAGTATATATCCAATGGACACCCACGACCCATAAGAGGAATGTGGTAAAAACTGGTGTAAGGAAGTTCTCCCAACGTTGCCGGACGACGCACAAACGGGGGAACGGGGGGTTCCGATGGAGTCAGCTGTTGCTGTTGCTGTTGCTGCTGTGGGTCTTGTGCCGGCAACTGCTGTGGAGGTGCGTATGCCTGTGCCACGGCCTGTGAAGGCTGAGGCCCGGGCGCCGATGCGTACTGAGTCGGTGGGTATGTTGTCGGCGATTGAATTGTAGTGGAAGACTGCTGTTGCTGTTGCTGCTGTGGGCCTTGGGCCGGCAACTGCTGTGGAGGTGCGTACGCCTGTGCCACGGCCTGTGAAGGCTGAGGCCCGGGCGCCGAGGCGGCAGATGCTAACGGGTCCGCCTCTGCAGAGCTCTGAGGAGGCGGCCCTTGCCAGCTTGGCGCCGTCGCTGCTGGGGACACCGGAGGGCCAGGTGACACCGATGCGTCCGCGGTCCGTGTTTTCTCCGGTTGCACCGTACCCGTAGCTGGAGGTTCTGACAGAGCCGTCTCCTTCTCCCCGGAGCCTGACGGCTTCCCAGCGTTATCATTGTTCGTCACACTACCTGCTGCCGCCGCCGCCGCAGCTGAGGTCGAGGGTGCCGGCGGTGGCTGTTGTGGTTGTGGTGGTGGCTGCGCCCAGACAGGAACCACCGTCGCCGCCACGGGCGGGTGGTACAACTCCAGAGGGTCTTGCGGCTGCTGCAGAGATTGGGACGGCTCCCCGCTCGTTGTTGGCGCTGCGGGGTCAGGCGGCTGCGCTGGATGCGACTGGGACGGCGCCGGGGCACCAAAGAGGTCGTCTAACAGGTTTGCATGGCCACCGCTGCCGCCTGCACGCGGCTGTGGCGCCTTAGTTGGCGGGGCGAGACCTCCGAAAAGCGTCGAATCCAGACTTTGTCCATCTACGATGCGTCGTTTGTTGTCACGAATGAACGGTAGCTCCTTCGGCGCCTCTTCGACAAATCCGGCCTCGATACCAGCGGGATAGGGGTCAAACTGCAGCCGGTTCAGCGCGAGCACGTTTCGCTTGAGCTGCTCCACCATGGACTCCTTATCGTACAGTTCCCCAGCCAGCTGCTCCCACTGGTCAATGTAATTCTCGGGGGCGCTGGCGGGCTTACTTTTTGCCCCGGCTTCCGCGGTATTCTTCTTGAGATCCACCAGCACGGACTCCAGGTTGTCAATCTCCTCCAGCAGCGGAATTACCTCGCTCGATATATCGCGATGGCTTTGAAGCGCCTCCAGCCTGCGCAGTTTGGCCTGTGCGGCGGCCAACTGATCCTCCACCTCAGCAACGAGGGCGCCGCTCCGCGCCGACGGGGCACTGTGGACGGCGGGGAGCATGGGGGCGATGCCAGCCTCGTGGGCGGACTTCGCGTCGATGTCCTCGGAAACCCTCTGCCAGTGCTTCAACTCATCGCGGAGGGCGGCGAGGGCGGCGGAGCCGGAGGTCACCTTGTCCTTCGCCGCGTACTGGGTGTCGTACTCCAGCTGCGCAATCTCCCGCTCCAGCGCCTGCACCTTCTCCTGCAGGTCCGCTTCGTTGGGGAAGAGCAGGGCGGCGCGGGCGGCGATCTCCTGTGCGACGTCCGCGTCCGTCTCCACCATCTCCGTCTCACTGGGGAGAACGCCGGCCTTTGTGAGCGACTCCACGACGCGGAACGGAAGTCGCCCCACATGCTTCGACGACTGCGCATCACCACTTCCTTTCGCCGCGGCAGCGCGACTGCTTGCCGCCGCCGAGGCCGCCACCTTCAGCGGCGGTGGTGGAACGGAGGTGGGGTGCATGCGAAAGACGACCTCCAGACGCCCTGGCCTACCGTCCATTCTGAAGGAGATGCTCTTCTTCTCACACATCGCCTCCCCCGCAAGGACGCTGCACATTCCCGCCAGCGGAATCTCAAACCCGGTCAGCTTCGCGGTGTGCTTGCGGTTGGTGATGTCGTAGACGGCGAAGTCAACCATGCGGCGGTCCTTTGGGGAGTCGAAGGAAACCTGAAAGCTCTGCGCCCGGCTGACCTCCTCGGGAGTACTGAACTCCACCTCCCCGGCCGTGCTGCAGACGGCGGGGTTAGACGCGATTTGCACGCCCTTGCGGGAGATGAGCATGGCGTAGGAAAACCCCTGCCGACAGAAGTAGGCGTAAAGCCGCACAGGGTGGATGGTGATGGTGTACAGCGTCATTTTGCAACCGACTACTCTCCTCTACGCTCTCTGCCTTTCTATATCTTAACTTATACGTGTGTGCTTATATGCGTGTGTCCCGGGTCCTTATTTTCGGTTTTTTTTTCCAGTTCCTCTTCACTCCTGCGGTAAACACTCGCAGCCCCGGTGCTAAGCGCCTTGTCGTGACACGCGCAACTTTCAACTTTGCCTTCTCACTTGGCTATGAGGAGGGGGCAAACGAATACAAAAGACATATATGTATATAATTGTTATTACATTGCGTGCATCCAGCCGCCAACAGGGCGGCGACGCAAAGAAGACGCAGTAAGGCATAAAGGCGGCGAGAGCAGTCAGACACACGCACACACACACATGTATGCATATGTGTGTGTATATATATATACTTACACGTCATTCCTCCGCTGTTAGGTGAAGCATGGATGCAGTTTCTCACAAAGGCCGCATTGGGTGTTAAAATGTTACAACGTCGCGTACCCGCGGCTACCGCCCGGTTGCTGCGGCGTTAACAACAGCAGGTGGTCGGTCACTTGCTTCCTCTAGCTGGGCGCCACCGCCCTACTCACGCGCCACATCCCGTGCCTGCAAGGCCGCTAGACGACGCCGCACGTCCTCCTTCTTTTTCTCCAGTTCTGACATGACGTTGCGGGCGGCCACGCCCCCGTCTTCTTTTTCATCCTCGCCTGCTCTTTCAGCATCGTCGCCGTCATCGCCGCTGCTGCCGCCCGAGCCGGCGGCCTCCGCGGATCGCGGGCGCTTTGCACTGGCCGCGGTTGCGCCCTGGGGGGAGGCGGACGGTGGCGGAAGGGGCGGCGGCGGGGCGGCGTAGCCCGGGAGAAGATCCGGCACAAACCTCGCCAGCGTTAGCAGCGGCTTGGAGGCGACGCGCCAGCGCAGGCGGACCCGCATCGTCTGCGGGTTCCGCGACAGCGGGGCGCTGGTGTGCTGGCCGCAGACGAATGTGTCGCCGGCGATGGCGCCGACGCTCTTCTCCATTGCGGCGTCGCCCAGCACCGCCGTCGGCGCCGTGACAAGCGTGAAGCCGCGCCCCTGCCGCAGCGCAACCGCCGCCGAGGGACGCGGTGCCTCTTGCTGAGTGTCCGCGGGGGCGGCAGGCGCGGCACCGCCACGGTTCCCGTCGCCGCCGGCCTCTCTCCCGCTGCTCTGCGGAGGGCGAGCGACGCCCGACTTTTTGGACGCGGCGAGCAGCGCGACTGCCGCCGCCGATGCAGCGGTGCGTGCCGGGCGTGTGCCAAAAAACGAGGACACCGACACTCGTGGGGTGCTGATTGTGGTTGGTGGTGCTGCGCCCTTCACCGCCCCGTCCCCTGTTTCTGTTGCTTCTCTCGGCGCTAACTCCCTCGCGGCCTTTGCCTGCTGCAGTTCCGCCGCAAATCCCTCTGAATCCCAATCGGCAACAAAAATCATTTCGTTCCCCTGAATCGGCATCCCCTGCGCCTCCGTCGCAAGCACGTGGGGCGTGGCAGCCAACGCATAGGCGCGGAACCGCGTTCGCTCCTCCTCAGTGAACATTGCCTGCTTCGCTTCACACCACGCCGAGATGGCGGCAAAGTCGATTTTTTCCACAGGGGCCAGCACAATTTGTTCGACCTCGCTGTATGCGTTGCGAATCGCCGATGGAAGAAGCGCGGTGCTCCGCGCAGGCAGCAGCACGAGAAGCTGCACCAGCACATTCGCGGGACCATCCCCCCACGTAGAGGCCGCAGTTTCCACCTCACCGGCAGCGGCGGTGGCGCCACGGTGCTTCAAATGACTGCGTTTCTTCGCCAACTCCATGAGGGCCTCATACGACAACATGCCGCAGTATTTCCGCAGCAGGTGCAGGGGCGGGGCGCTGCTGTACGGGTAGTAGCAGCCCCAGTGCTCCACCAGCCCCGCACTGTTCTGCAGCGACCATTGCAGCATCGTCCAGTACGCGTAGCACTTGGGCGCCAGCTCCGTATCCTCCCGCGCCTGCCTCCGCCTCAGGAATTCCTCATCCACAAACCCCCAGTCGGCGGCGCCCTCCTTGCCGTTGTCGACGCACAGCCCCTCACCACCAACGCGCTCGCGGCGCATCTCTGCCAGGGAGTCTAACGCATACCGGGCGGCGTCAACCTGGATGGTGTTGGTGGCCGGGTCAATGATGGAGCGATCCCGCGAGATGAAGTCGGTGGCGAGGAGCTCCAGCAGGTCGTCGAGGAAGCCCTCCTCGATGCGGCAGCCCACCGACGGGAGGAAGTCGTTCCCAAACAAGAGCAGAACAAACACCACGTCGTGCAGCGCGCGCTCAAACTGGCGGTTTCTCCGCTCCATCTCGTCCACGGTGTGGCTGCCGCCGGTCTGCAGCCTGAGTTTGGCGCGCAGCTCCTCGCGAAAGGCGTGGATGCTAAAAAACGTGGAGGCCCAACCGTCGCCCACGTGATTCCGCCAACTACTACTACCGCCACCGCCGCCGCAGTGGGGTGTGGGGTACTCGTAGCGGAGGACGTGGATGCGTGGCTCATGCAGGATCAGGGAGCACACCGTCACGTCCGTGTCAGAGCTGCAGATGACGTGAGAGGTGTTTGGGTCGTACGTCGGCTGGGAGCGGAAGCGGCGAATGGCATCCGCTATTTTGTTCTCCCCCTCCCCTGGTCGCCAGACGTCGTCCACGACAAACGTGATGGGTGCCACGGGAGCCGGCGCCGCCGGCTGCAGTGCATCACGCAGCCGCTCCCCGTTGATGCGCTCCGCGCGGCTGGCGCAGTAAAAGTGCAGCGCCTCCGTCAGCCGCGACATGAACGGGGTGCCGACGCTGATGCTGTTGCTGTCCCACTCCACGGCGCCTCTGCCACCGCGGCTACCGCCGCTGCTGCGCCGCCGCCGCCTGGAACGCTGCTGGGCGAGCTTGCCCATAGGGGAGATGCCGTCCACGGCCAGGTACACCAGCGCGCGTGGGCGCACGAGGCGCAGGACGATGTCGTCGAGCAGGTCGAAGAGCTTCCGCAGGATGGCGGCGTCGATGTCCGCCGCGGCCGCCTCACTTGCAGTCGCGAGGGCGGCGGATTGGTACACCAACCCGTTGACGTCAATGTACAGGCAGTCCGCGGCCGGGCAGCTGGTGCTCGGCAGGAAGCACGGCGCAAAGCGTCGCTTCAGCCACGTGAGTAGCAGCGGCACCCCCATTCGCGAAAAACCCCTTGCCCCAGCCGGAGACTTTCAGGCAAGCAACGCTCTGCGTTTTTTTTTCTCCTTTTCTTTTTCGCAATCGCACAGAAACCAACAGCCACCCCCACCGGCGTCAAAGAAGAAGAAAAAGGAACACAGATGCAAGGGATTGCGACACACAGGCAGCGTGAGAGAGAAATAGAGAGCGCGAGTAGAAAAAAGGAGGCAATCGTCTGCGCAGCATGCACGGATGGACGCCCATCTTTGGCCAACTCTCTCCTTGTGCTCTGCGATGCACGCAACGCAGACCACACCGGCAGGGAGCGAGAGGGAAGCCGTTATGCACCGAAGCACATATCCTCCTCCTCCTCCTCCCGCACCACCTCCGCTGTACATGGGACCGCATCGCAGACCAGTTACGTCCCTCCACATTTTCTGCTTCTACATGTGGCTCATGAACGCAACACACCATACATGTCGTCCAGCGTAACGCGGCCGTCGCCGTCCACGTCGCACTCCATCAGCGCCGCCTCTAGCTCAACCATGCTCATTGCACAGAGCTTTTGAAGGTCACGGTCCTCCGCCGCGGCACCCTCGCCTATCAAGCGCCGTATCACAGTCTGTACATCCCGAACAGAGACGGCGCCATCCCCGTCGGTGTCAAGGAGCTGGAACAAGTCGTGCACCTCGCAGTTCCGCATCTCCGTGGTGTCATCCTTCTCCAGCAGCACGTGGGAGAGAATAAAGAGAAAGGTCGAGAAGGTTACGCCGTCCCTCGTGGGCCGCCTGCCCAGGGACAATGAAAGCTCCCTTCCCCTGTAACTGGCCCAATCTGACTCCGCGGTGAACTCCTTGCCGCCGCCGTTGGCGGTGGGATTGTCCTTGCGACGGCCCGGCGCGGCTTTTGAGGAAGCCGCGGACTTCGTGGAGGCTCCTTGCCCGGCCGAAGAGACCCCCAAGTCGGAAGCCTGCGCCGCTGCCTCGGCGGCCGCTGCCGCTGCCGCCGCCATCGCGCGCCGCCGCAGCACAAAGTCGATGGGGTCGTCGTTGAGGGTGTGCACCATGTCCGCCACTTCCAGCGCCGACATGCGTACCCCCAAATCTTTGAAGAACTGCTGCAGCCCCTCCACCCCCAACGTCTCCTCCTCGCCCGTCCCTTTGCATGCTTCCGAATTTGTTGTCCCCTCCGCCTCTAACTCCACCTCCCCCTGCAGCTGCCGTTGCTGTCCGTCGCCCAGAAACGTACTCTTCCTGCTGACGGAGGCGGGCGTCCATGCCGTTTGTCCGTCGCTCTTGCCCCCCTCCCTCTTCCACTCCAGCGTCGCCTCAGCGGCCTTCTCGCCACATGGCACGTCCAACCGATTCGGCGTGCCGTCTGCCCCGCCTTCCTGCAGCGTCGTCCCGGAGGACACCGTCGCCCCCGCCGTTGCTTTACGCGAAGACGTGGAGGGCGTCAACGTGGCGCCCCCCCTCCGTTGCCGCAGCTGCTGCTCCATCGCACGGTACCACATAAACACCTCGCGGGCCTCCCTTGCCACTGCCGGCGAGAGAAAGTAGCGCTGCGCCAGCCGCAGAGCCTCGCCCTCGCTGAAGGGGGGCTTTTGCTTGGCCGCAGCCTCTGCCTCGCCCGGCTGAGGCTGCCTCCGCTCCTCCGGGGGCTGTTCCGGGAAGGCGGCAGACACACGCTGCATTTCCTGCCCCGGCTCCAATCACCTCTGCCCCCCCCCCTTCCGGGTGGTGTCAGTTGCGGCTCTTGACAAGTGTCTTTTTTATTTTATTTTATTTTTTCTTTTGCAGAAATAAAACAAATTCCTTTTTCTACCTCCCCACGCTGGCCGGGCACCCCCCGCAGACACAGCAGGGGATCGGTGTGGGGGGAGGGGCAGACAGCGGCAGCATGGAGGCACACACCAAACGGGCTGTCAGGCAGACACTGTCAGCCCCACAACAACACCATTGCGCCTGCGGGCAGAAGGGGCGGACGACAGAATCAGAGAATTCATTTTTTTTTTAAAAGTAACCACTCGTAACTATTAGGATGACTCAAGCTCTAGCATTCGCACTCTTTCCACCTCATTCCCACCGCATCGACACCGACACCGACAGACACACACACACACGCACACAGGCGTGCACAAACCCCCCGTGGGGTGTAGAACGCACGCGCGTGGGGTGCGGAGCGTGTATCCGTGACCGGCCTCAGGCCTGGGCTCCGGAATCATGTTCCGTTTCCCGGCAGGCTTTCGTCCTCCACGCGCGTTCGCCCCCCCCCCCCCCCCCAGGAGTCACCGCCTGGCACCCGCCTCCCGTGACTGGTGGTGGTGGTGGTGGGGGGGGGGGGGGGCGAAGAGCCGCATCAGTGAAACCCAACGACAACCGCAAACCCCCGCCGTTTATTCCCTCCTTTCGTTTGCGTTTGCGGGCGTGGGCAAAAAATGGAAGCGGGAAGGAGGAAGGGAAGAAGGGAGGCGCACAACAACCGAATGGCGCGGGTCACGGCGAGCCGGCTCCTGCGTTTGTACTGAATCCCATGGGGGGGGGGGGGACAAACAAAAAAAAATGTGAAACGGGGCGGGACGGGGCAGAAAAAGAGAAAAAAAAACACACACACACACACAAAGAAAAGAACACTGACACACCGAGACACGTAGTCGCACAGAAAGCGAATGAAG